CTATCTATCTATCTATCTATCTATCTATCTATCTATCTATCTATCTATCTATCTATCTATCTATCTATCTATCTATCTATCTATCTATCTATCTATCTATCTATCTATCTATCTTAATTGCAACATTTTACTTTTGACATTAAATATTCTTTTGACATCTTCAGGAAGTTATTATTTTTTTTCAAACTCTAACTCTTTCAATAAACAAACAAACCATATATAATTGAATTTATTTTACATTTTCTATAATCTTTTAAAATGAATTTTTAAATTTATACAAAATACAAACAGACATATAAATAAAAACAAAATCTTTAAATTCAACAAGTTGTTTTCAATTTCGTTCGTTACTGTTTTTATTATTTATTTTTATGACCATTAAATTCTTTTCATTTTAAATCAAAGTGTTTTGTTTTACTACCAAATTGCGTACACAGTTTTTTTTAAAAATTTGAATATTTTGCTTTCCTATTTGCTTTAGATTTTGTGTGTGTAACTTGGGAGAATAAATTTGAATTTATCTGAATTTTATTTTTTTCATGTTTTTTTTTTTCTTCACAATGACTTTGATTTATTAGAATTTGTTGAGTCGTACCCGAAATAATGCAAATAGTAAATTGAAAAAATAACAGAAGGAATGAACAAAGTAAATATTTTGTGCATGTTGTGATTTCAGAATTGTATCAGCATACACTGAGAGAAAAAGGTTAGTTTAAATGCATATCGCTATTTTCAAATCGACTAACTTATAGCTTTAATATAAACAAGAAATACCTCTGATCATTCTCTTAGTTTTTTTTCAGTGTATTTCTTCATAAACATGATGATGACATGTTGCCAAATATTGTTGTTTATGGGAACCTTGACAAATTAAAAAAAAATCACAAACTGTAACAATAATTGAATTTAAATTCTACCAAAATATAAAAATACTATACAAAAACCATACATTTTTTCTGTTTGGCTTTCAGTTACTTTCATTCATTTTAAAATGTTGATAGTGTATTAATTTTTTAGCAATTATTTTATGCATATATACACTTTTTTTTGTAAACAACAATTTATTTATTATTTTATATTCAAGGATTGGCAATATTGGTCAAGTATTTTATAGATTTCTTTTGATACAAACTAACTAATTCATACCAAAACTAAAAAAAAAGTCTTTTCAAAATGCTCAAACAACTACTAGACAACCATTAAATAATTGAAATATTCTTGAGTAGTTTCTGTTTTTTTTTTTTTTTTTTAATAATTAAACTAAAAGCTCAACACTTTTTAAAAAGATAAAATGTGTATAAAACAAAGCAAATGCAAACAACTTATGAATAAAAACAATAAAAGCAAATTATAAGAGTTTCTTTAATATTTTTGTGTTCTATTTTAATAAGTCTGCCATTGTCTGCAACAAATTTACTGCGAAATTATTCTTATTTGTGGGCGGGGCAGTGACAGATGGAAGTGTGAGGACTTTTGTGAAGGTTGCCCGGCTGCCGGATGCGGTTGTTGCTGAGGCCTGCTGCTGTTGCTGTCATGACGTTTAGGGGGTTTGTTATTGAAACATCATATTACTGCCAACTCGCATAAACGTACGTCTATTCTCAGCAATATATAAGACATACCAATCCCTACTAATTAAAAATAATGAGGAAAATTACAAAGCACAAAAAAAAAATGAATGGAAAAACAGGAGAAAATTGCAATGCAGCAGCATTGCAGACAATAGACATATGATAAAGTACGAATGTTAAGGTATGAGTTTTTTTTTTCAAATTAATAATGTAGTAGAATGATAGAAGATAGTAGATGATAGTGTTTTTTTTCTTATTGATATATAGATAGATTAGATAGATAGATAGATAGATAGATAGATAGATAGATAGATAGATAGATAGATAGATAGATAGATAGATAGATAGATAGATAGATAGATAGATAGATAGATAGATAGATAGATAGATAGATAGATAGATAGATAGATAGATAAATAGATAGATAGATAGATAGATAGATAGTAGGTAGATAGATGATGATAGATAGATAGATAGATAGATAGATAGATAGATAGATAGATAGATAGATAGATAGATAGATAGTAGATAGATAGATAGATAGATAGATAGATAGATAGATAGATAGATAGATAGATAGATAGATAGATAGATAGATAGATAGATAGATAGATAGATAGATAGATAGATAGATAGATAGATAGATAGATAGACAGAATTACTTTTCAAGATATTAACTCCATTCATATCATAATTTTAAAGATTACATCCTTTTAAATCTCAAAATACCAACTAAACGGTTACTTAAACAAACAGGCTATTTTCTAAAGAACACAAAAATTAAAAAATAGAAAAAATCAAAAGTAAAGCAAACAACAGTCAGGAGAAAAAAATAGACGACTATCAACAAATAGTAAAAAAATGTTTATGAGCAAAAAAATATTCTACAAGGAATTGGCATTAGGCCAATTAAACACTCAAAAAAATGT